ATAATACAACAAAGAATACACAAAAGTGTCAAAAAGGCAAAATACAAGAAAATCGATGATATCCAGTTTTTATTTTGCAGATAACTAGTTGAAGATCTCTATAAATGAATTACAGCAAAAAAATCTGTGTTACTTTATGAATAAAAAACTTTACTTTGGACTCCTATCAGATTTTGACTACAACAAATAGACAAACGCTCGATTGCAACATGTCAAAAAAAAAAATAAGACTACCAATATATAGTGGTATGTATATTTATTCTGAATTTGCAACTTTATTTTCCTCCAAAGAACGTTCTGCCATTGCTCGTTTCCAAGTTCTTGAAAAGCCGCTTATCCAGTTTGAAATTGTCGACACCTTGGGCATGTCAGCTTCATTGATTTCACCTTCCCTTGAGCGATTTAGTAATTCTTGTTGCATTTCAGTTGCTAACATTTTGTTTCTTAGGCTTGCCGTTCCAGTATGAAACATAGTTTTTAACAAGCTTTTTACTTGAGGCATAAGCCATTTTACTAGTTCTCTGCTTTTCTTTTGTTTCTCCTTGAGACACCAACTAGTGACAAACTTAGATGAAAAAGTGGATATAAAAAATAAAAAAAGTTAGAAATAAGAAATTAAAGCAGCGAATATTAGATAAAGTTTGATAAAATCTCAAAATAAAAAAATGAAAAAATGAAACTGTAACACTTCAGACTCAGTGTAAGCTTCTATTTTGGCTGCATTAATTAAGTCGACCATTTCCTGGATTATGAACATAACTATTTTTAGTCATATGTTTATTGTATACAAATGAATATTGGCAAATTACACACAAGATCATCATTCTTGTCTTCTAAACTGTCATTCGATGAAACTGATAAAATACATGTATTGACAAAATATCCCAATATTTTCATAAGTTACCAATCACCAAATATTTATAAAGCTTCAGTACTATTTAGCATTGCTTACAGTACTCACAAATAAGTGCTGCTAATGGAAATTCGTAGTTCAGACTTTCAATTGCATTTTATACCAGACACAATCGCTAATGAATTATTAGTGATTGCGTCCAGTACAAAATACAATTGAAAGTCTGAATTGCGAATTTCTCTTGGCAGCATTAAAATAAAATAAACACTAAATCAACCAAGGTAATGTAAGCAATACAAAACAACCATACCCTATGGTACACTAGTTAAAATTAGAAATTCAATATAGTGAATTTTTTAATTTCAACAAGTGATACCTAGATTATAAATTTTTGCAACCTTTAATTTCTGGCACTGGCATGGTCCAAGATTTGCTTGGTTGACTGTGTGTAGTGACGGTAGGCTCTGGCTTTTTTATAACCCGTTTTTTTATAATTTTTTGAATATTTGCGGGTGTGAATTCTTTCTATGGGCCAATTCTGGGTAAAGGCCTTGTATAAATGCATCCCGCTTCGGTCTCATTATTAAACCAAGACCATTCATGCCAGTTCTGAATTCCCGCTATTGTGCCTAGTGCTGTATCATTATTGCCTGTATAATTAAAAATGCATTTATTGCTGAACTGTTTAGTAACAAGTTGTATAGCTTCTGACCTTTGGACAATAAAGACGCATTCAGGCAAAAAAAAAAAAATTTATTATATCTTACGTTGATTACGATTTGGCTCTAAATAAGCAACATGTGTTCCTGCTAGATCCTTTATCGCTTCTTCAATATCTTCACCAGAGTTTATATCATAGCCAAATTTGACATACCTCTTAGATATGAAAATTATATAATTTCAGATTCATATTATTCCTCAAACAAATAAATATTTCAACAATTACAACTTGTTCCCGTTATAGTGAAGATTTGATATAGAGAAAATTTTTGAATTATGAATTGTTAAACTTCAACTTGATATAGTGAGTATATAGAGGATTCTCTCGTTATTAAGCTCAGCCAGATTACGTTACTATAACAAGAATAAGTTGTATCTTACTGAAATGGCAATTAATATTTCAAATTTGCTGCCGAAAAATTAATGATTATTAATAATTATGTATGTGAAATATTAACTTTTACGTTAACGAAAAACAATAATCAAAGAATAATATGGACCCAATATATTCAATGCTTTTATTATTATTATTATTATTATTATTATTATTATTATTATTATTATAATATATATATAACTTATATATATATATATTTTTTTTTATACGAACTTGTGCATGATGAGAATCTATCAAGGTTTTAGCTTTACCAGCTTCTAGGAATAGCCATTTTTTCACATAAACATCATATCATTCTTTTCACTTTCCTAATATTATCATCAGCTTAGTATTGTGATAATGAGGACCATTATCCGAAACAATATTAACCCATTTGGGCATATGATCTAGGCTTTCAAGTACAGCATGAAGTAAGGATGCGGTAAACCAAGCGTCTTGCTTAGTATCACCACTCCAATAATCAAATGCTTGAATATCAAGCTTACTAGTCTCGGCATTTTTGGTGTATATAAGAACAGAATAGAGGGTCCAGCCACGTTTGCCAAAGAACTCAGGTTTTGTTTCTCGTGCACTTTGTGGGAAAATTCTCATTTTATAATCCACAATAAACAAAGCCCCATCCGTATCAAGTCGAGCAAGTTCGACATTCAATTGTGTATTAAGATATGTCTTTCGTGTGTGATGAGCTATAAAACAAATTAGTTGATTTTGATACTCAATTAAAGATTCATGAAACTCATCATCCATATTCGCCTTTAGGTTATCAAAAAAGGTAAATAAGTTGCTACAATTTTTGCAAATTTTGGGATGGTCTAAATGGCAATTTTCAAATGCGTGCTGGAGGCAATGACTAATACATGGTGAGTGTAAAGCAACACCCATTGATGATACTTTTAGGTTGGTGGCAAAATCTTTACGCAGATATCGTCATAAATTTTGAGCTATTCCGTGCATATTTTCCTATTTTTTTTTTTTTAGGCGACGCCTATTTCCACTATGAAAATTTACTGGAACAGTAAATTTACATGGTGGAAATAGCTGTCTTCTTGTTTTTTATCATTAGAAGTTTAGTTTATTTACAAGTATTCGAAAGTAAAAAATTGAAAAAAAAACCATACCTTAAGCTCAGTATTTTTAATTTTAGTATCAATTAATGATTTGAGTTCTTCAAAAACCTCATACCCTAGCTCATTACAAGTAGTGCAAAGACCACCTAGATTTTCTTTATATACAAACCT